TGAATGGTTTGCAGAACACGGAAGACCTATTGGCATGCGAAGTGTTTACCGACGAATGAGAAGTTTTGGCTTGTTTTCATACCGGCCACACTGGGTCCTCCCTTTAACTCGAGAACACCGACGTAATCGCCTTGAGTGGTGCAGACAACGGTCACTCTGGGATCAAGAATGGAACAGTATTGTCTTTAGTGACGGGTCTCGATTTTGTTTAGGCATGCACGATGGTCGTGCCAGGGTTAGAAGGCGACGTGGTGAAAGGAGGAATCCACAGTTTTTTGTTGAAAGACATGTTCATCACACTGTTGGAGTTATGGTTTGGGGTGCTATAGCTTATGGTTCCAGGTCACCTTTAATCTTCATCTTCTAGAACCCCATCTTTTACCCTATCTTGACACCCTGGCAGATCCAACTTTCCAACAAGATAATGCTCGACCTACATGTTGCAAGAGTCACAATAGACTTCTTTCAACATAATGATGTCACATTGTTACCATGTCCACCAAGATCTCCCGACTTATCCCCAAATGAGCACGTGTGGGATATGATGGGTAGGAGATTGCTCAATTTGCAACGTCCTCCTCAAACTCTAGAAGCACTTCGAGAAGAATTGGTGGTTGCCTGGAATGAGATACCTCAGGAGGAAATTGACCACCTGATCAGAAGCATGCCTAGGCGCGTTGGAGAATGCGTAGCACATCAGGGTGCATCCACACATTATTAAAGGTCAAAGGGCTTTAAAGCAGTGCAATCATTTTGAAATTTTTATCATTTACTTATTATGCTTCATTAAGTACTTATACAAAATTTTATTAAAATAAAACCATTTAAACTGGGTTTTCGGATTTATATGTCACTTAGTATAATTGTGTCAAAGCAACGTTATAGCAGCCTGAGTATCCTTGCACTTAAGCTTCTGGCTGCACGGCTGCTTGTGCGCAAAACAAATTCATTTTGATGTTTTTTTGCTCTAAAATACAGTCTTAAGTGTCTTTCTAAAATACACCAGAAGTTTTAAAATGGGTTGCGCATTCATTAGGGGACATATTTTTATGTACACCCATGGTCACACTGAGTATGTCGCTAGATGCTTGTTTGTGTCGCTAGTCTGCGGAAAACAGCGTAATGCACAAGTCAGATATTCATGAAAATCACCCTCATCTCGCAAGGAATACCACAGCTATCACTAACCGAGCCTAAATCCACATTTTCCACTTTGCAAAATAAATTTTTTTTCGAAAACGATCCAATTTAAGTATGATTTTTCTTTCGAAACCCGTTTTTAGTAAATAATATATAAATGAATCTTAAGACCTCACTTTTTTTCGTTGTCCGCTTCACGTGGAATGTTGATGGATTTGTCGAAGTTTCATAGGAATTTAACTTTATAGCTAAAAAAATGGACACTTTCCAAGAAGCGCTGCTTGAATTCTGTAAGTACACACCTCGCTTTTCTGCAAAGATGAAGAAACTGTTTTTGTCTATAAAGCTCAAATCTTCAGATACTTAGATTGGTGTGTAACTTGGGCTCAGCTGTATAGAAATTATATCTACTTATTTTTCTAGAAATCTGGAACCATCAGGTTTCTTAACTCTTAGCTATGAAGCCAAAATTATTCTAAATCACCGATTTCATTAGTCTGCTACTTGGCAAGATATCTGGTATCTTAGCTATGAAACCAATTCTCTATTAAACTACGACAGATACAAATTCGGCAACATATCCCTACAACTGTATACATCCGAAAACTTCTAACGGCAATTTCCCATTGTTGACATTATTATGCATAAATATACTAAGTGACATATAAATCCGGACACCCAGTTTAAATGGTTTTATTTTAATGAAATTTTGTATAAGTCCTTAATGAAGCATAATAAGTAAATGATAAAAATTTCAAAATGATTGCACTGCTTTAAAGCCCTTTGACCTTTAATAATGTGTGGATGCACCCTGATGTGCTACGCATTCTCCAACGCGCCTAGGCATGCTTCTGATCAGGTGGTCAATGTCCTCCTGTGGTATCTCATTCCAGGCAACCACCAACTCCTCTCGAAGTGCCTCTAGAGTCTGAGGAGGACGTTGCAAATTGAGCAATCTCCTACCCATCATATCCCACACGTGCTCAATTGGGGATAAGTCGGGAGATCTTGGTGGCCATGGTAACAATGTGACATCATTATGTTGAAAGAAGTCTATTGTGACTCTTGCAACATGTGGTCGGGCATTATCTTGTTGGAAAGTTGGATCTGCCAGGGTGTCAAGATAGGGTAAAAGATGGGGTTCTAGAACTTGGATATAACGCTGTGTGTTCATGTTACCTCTGCTGAAGATTGAAGGTGACCTGGAACCATAAGCTATAGCACCCCAAACCATAACTCCAACAGTGTGATGAATATGTCTTTCAACAAAAAACTGTGGATTCCTCCTTTCACCACGTCGCCTTCTAACCCTGGCATGCCTAAACAAAATCGAGACTCGTCACTAAAGACAATACTGTTCCATTCCTGATCCCAGAGTGACCGTTGTCTGCACCACTCAAGGCGATTGCGTCGGTGTTCTCGAGTTAAAGGAAGGACCCAGTGTGGCCGGTATGAAAACAAGCCAAAACTTCTCATTCGTCGGTAAACACTTCGCATGCCAATAGGTCTTCCGTGTTCTTCAAACCATTCATTTGCAATGGACCTGGTAGTGGAGAAACGGTCCCTTAAGGCCAATAATCTTAGGCGGCGATCTTCACGGTCTGTTGTTCTACGGCGGCGTCCAGTGCCCCTTGCTCTTTGCGTACGGCCTTCTCGAAGCCATGCCTGACAACACCTAACCACAGTGTCTACACTTCTTTGCACTCTAACTGCACTTGCCCGAAAAGAAAGTCCAGCTTCCCGAAGTCCCACTATACGGCCCCTATCAAACTCACTAAGTTGACGAAATCGTACAGGTCTCCGTACTCTAGGCATCGTAACCGATCGTAAAGGATGTCAAGAACCAAAATCCGCCAACGTTGATTCTTTACTGCGGCTGAAATATTCATTTTTAGAGCGTTAGTGAATTAAAAAAAAAAGCAGTATAAAAACCGGAATGTCCAACTGATAAGGCTGAAAATTTTTTCACTTGTTATTTACAGTAAGATAAATACATTCACCAACTTTTATTAAAATAAAACCATTTAAACTGGATTCATATGTCACTTAGTATACTTTCTATGACGGAAGTCAAAACACATAGGTTAAATGCTATCTTGCAATCATTCGTCGTTCTAAGATTGCATGCAATTCTGTCCATTTTCAAGAGTTTAATCTTTAGGGGTTAACTTTGTATCGCATATGCTTGGAACAACGTTTAAACGTACTTGTCACTTAATCAGCCGCCGAAAGGTTTTTGTATAAACTGCCGCAGTAGCATCTGTATACAGGTGAAAGACATTTCCTGGTGGGCAGGAGCCTAAACTATATGTATTACAAAACCAAAATTTTTTACTTCAAAGTATAGGATATATTCGCAACTACAGGACAGAAATATTTCGCGCTTTCACACCCTGTATGTATCTGCCCTAGTAAAAGCAGTGAAATGTTTAATAACAATTTCACGTATAAATCTGAAGTATAAATCTTATGTAGCAATACGGAACGAATTGGTCGAGTCCCTTGGCGCCAGTAAGTAATAAAAACATAGAACTGCCTTGTACGATTGGCGTCAATCTGCAGGTTAATAAACTAGCATAAACCGAACCTTCGCACAACTCAGTTAAAAAGCTTTCCCACCTCATCATTGCACATAATCCTAAGTATGGATGATAATTGCAATTGATAATTCTTTCAGGATGTCTACAAGCTAAGCATGTACCAGCAGTATTCTAGCTCTTACCATACCAGTATCATAATTTTTTCATCTGTCGTTTATTTATAACTCTATCAAAATATACAGTGGTGTGAACATTTGAAGACTCTTTCGGTAAACTATATAAAAAATAAGCCAAACAGCTTCTTCTACATCGTTAGCAAATTGTTTCAGTTTATTGTATTATCATTGTATTTTGCTTTTCATCCATTTATTATGGTTTGATTTCATAGTGCCCTCCGTCTTTAATACATATTTACAGAGTTTTTGAAGAAATGAAAATATTGGTATTGGAGTAGGTTGAGTTGAACTGATTTATCTAGACTCGGCCTATACGGGTACATCTTTATTCAAATAAATACCTTTTATTATTATTATTATTATTTTCGTTTTTCCACGGTTCATGACCGATGTAGCGATGGTATGGTTGAGGGATATCACATCGTCCAAACCATATTCGGTTTTAACTGCTGCATTGGAAGAAACTCACTCAGCGTAGAGGAAGCGTCTGATCAAGTGGCATGTATTTAAGATGACGGGCTTTTGCATTAGTTGATAGTGATGTGGTTGTATGTCCAGAAGAGATTTGAAGAGTTTCTTTGGTATCACATCCATGTTTGACAGTACAATTGGCACTACTCTCACTTTTTAATATTTTGACAATATATTTAGAGATTTTGTCTCTGTACGCTTATTCCAAGTTGTTGTTGTTTGTTATTGCGAGATCCATGAGAAGTGGCTCTTTATCCTTCTTCTTCTTAATCAATATATCAGGTCAGTTGTGTTCAATTTTCTTGTCTGTAATGATAGTCCAGACCCAGTACATTTTATATTCCTCGTTTTCTAGCACTGTTTTTGGTTCATATTGATAATAGCTAACCTTGGAATTCAAGAGTTTATACTTGAGTGCCAATTCTAGGTGTATAATTTTCCCCACCTGATCGTGTATAAATTTATATTCATTCTGCGCTAGCATCTGACACCCTCCTATAATGTTACGAATGGTTTCGCTTGATCCTTTGCATTTTCGGCATAGATCTGATTCACCTCCGTTCTTAATAACCTGTTCCTGGATGACGATGAAGAAGCTTTCGGTTTCTGGTTGTAATTCCCCGGGTGACAACTAGTTGTAAGACTCTCTATTGTCTACAGTGTCTTGGCTTACATCGTGAGGGAACCTTCCATGAAAAGCCTTTTCCTTCCATCTGTTCATTTTTTTTCACTTCGCTGGGCAGCATATTTGTCTGTTTTTGTTATGGTGGCATAGCACAGAGACTCTGACTGTTTTGATAGGAAGTAGTTTCTTAGTTTAAGTATACTCTTGTTGTGTAGATTGAGATGTAGATTTATTATTATTATTATTATTATTATCAATTATTATCAATATTTAACATAAGAAAAAAAGGCAATGTGTGAAACGTCCTCGTTATTATCTTTGTCAGAGCGGTTGGAATCTATCCTTGCGATTTTTTCGAAAAATTTATTCGGATGTAAAAGTATCACATTAGGACACAGAATTTTATATATTAAATTTTCTGTACTTTTTGATAAAAAAATCAAATTTCAAATAAAAACAAATGAGGTGCTAAACCAGAAGTAAACAGTTGATGTCAAAATTTGGGGACTTTCGGTCGTTTTTATTTTCAATATTTTAACCCCAAAATATATCCTTGAGTGTGTGCTTAAAACACACTAGAAATTTCAAAATGAGAGGCAATTCAATTATGGAGATAGGTATTTTTATGTACATACATGTCGCACTAGCTTTGACGTTAGGCGCTTGTTTAAGCTCTTATAGTCATTTCAAACTTATTTTGACAAATAAAATAAAAACGACTTAGATTTTCCAAATATTGATTTGTAATGTTTGCTTCCGGCTTAGCACCTTTTTAAACTTAAAATTTGATTTTTTTTTGTAAAGTACAGAAAACTTCCTATTTGAGCCCCATGTTCAGTATCCCAATGTAATGCCTTCGGATTCGAAAAAATTCTTCGAAAAATTCCTAATTTCATGTTGGCACGGCTATTTTTTTGAAGCCCGTAACTCAGCAAATAAGCGTGCCCAGAAAAAAAATCGTATTCTATCTTTCATACCTACTAGATGTACAAACAGGCCCAATATGGGTGAACACACTTTTTTAGGTGCCCGCTTCACGTTTAATGTCCCAAAAGTCAAAAAGTACGAGATGTCAGCAACAATAGTTCTGGTGTATAACTTTTCCTCTTACTCATAAACGGGGGACATATTGTCACCACATAATCTATAATCTACATCGATAAAAATTCAACTCTATCAAATGTGATAAAGTTATATTTCAACAAATCAAGCATTTTTGCCAGTTCATAGATGATCTCGACTGAACAAATGTCAAGTAGGTTGACTCTACACTTCCCAAGCAACGCGGTCATCTGCTTGTAAAGTTTTGTATTCGGCACATGTAAAACCCTTTGAAAAGAAAGTTAGCTACGATCATGTATAACAGAGAAATTAAACAGATCAAGTCGGTCCACACAATTAGTCTATAGAGATTCCTTCCCTGCTCTAGCGATAGTCCAACAGGCAACGTCGCACTTCCCGGATACTTGACAAAACAACGCTTCAGATGTGCGACAGTAAGGCCAGGAGACTTACCAAGACCAGCGCGCTCGCCGGCGTATAAACATACGAGAATAAAAACAAAACATGTTATGCAAAAGGAAGAGTTCTTTGAACTTTTGGGTGAAACACTAGCAAATGTCGGCAGCCGTAAGTAACTATCTTTGTTAGAGGCTATGAGTGGCAGGGTTGGAAGAAAGAAACATGGTAAAATTTTAGAAGCTTTTGGAGAAAACATCACAAATGACAACGGTACACAATTAATAGAAATATGGCGGCGTTACGATCTTTAGACGGTTTTTACACACATAAAGATATCCATAATTCTACGCGATTACAATACTTCCTCGCCAGTAGGCGTGCGAAGTAGAATACAAAGTATATCTCCTCGACTTCGTTCTTTTCATACATCTTAAAACCTCCTAACGATCCTCAAGAGCAACGTCACTCTAGCATCATTACAAATGCAACTCGATGCATGTATGCCAATAGGCACATTTCAATAATGCACGTTGGCTGGCTCGTTCTAATATTTTCAACGTGCTTGTAATCAATTTTCGGGGCCCTCCCATTCATGAGTGTTAACTTCGACCTGACCGTTCTTGTATAGCCTGTGACAGCGAAGAAGAAAGGAAATGAAAAAATTAACGGTACGGTGCTACAAGGTGGACCCAGATGAATGTGAATGAATACGTTAAGGCCAGGTGGCCAGCTGGGCGTCATAACTTTTGTGAATTTTTTGGTTATAGTCTAAGGACCAATTTCACCAACAACAGCCACCTATAGGGTAACAGCCCGTCAAATACAGCGAATGAGCTTCAAGTTACAATCAACAAACTTTAGCAACCAATAGCTATGAAATGTTCAAAACAAAATACTGTCAAAGTATGAGATGACAACTTGTCATTGAAACATCACCAGCTTATTGAATATTAAGAAATTACATATAATTCAGTCCAAATCTTAAGAAAAATTTGATTTTTGAATTAAATTCATGTTTGTATTATTTTCTTCAATTGATATGTGATACTGGGTGTTTTTTTGTATAAACCTCTTGCAGATAGCCATTAAGCACCTACTTGATGACAGGCTCTACCAAAAGATATTGCTCGTTTTCAAACATTCATTCATTTACTTGCCGTTCATCAGAACCATAATGGCACCTTAGATTGATATTCCCATAAAACCATTCAGGTTTTTGATATCCATACATCTGTAACGTTAAATATCTTTCATTGTTCAGGAACTGAACAAAAACATCCACACTATATTGACAGCGATTAATAAATTCCCAAATATACGCCTTAAAGCTACCATCAAACCTAAAACCTGCAAAAAAAACTACAAATTTGCCATATTTTTCACAAGTTATATTTATATTAGACATTATTTGAATACAGCTGACTATTGCATTTCAAGGAGTGACACATGTGTAGGATCTGTCAACTCTTGGTACCAGTCACAAAACATATTATACTCTGAAGGTTTAATTCCATGCTATTCAATGACAACACGTGACTTGTGTGGTTATCAGCGGCCATTTTGTGAGGGTGCGACAGGGTTGCCAGATTGTGCATTAATATCCCGTTTCACGCTCCTGGTCCCAGTGGAGTAAGTTCCGCCAACTGTTGAAATAAACTCTACTATGCTTTATAAGACTATTCGTGACATTTTTCCCAAAATCATTGCACAACACTTGAAAAAATGCAAATGTAAATTTAAAATTATTTCCATGACGCCGCAAAATAGCTCCGTCGGTACCTTGGGTTATACATCTTGACAGTAGGGATGTTCGATAGGATCCTATACTTAGCAGTATCAATACATTTCACGAGTATCGTCATCTTTCGATCCGGACTGTGTCAGAAAGAGTGACTGCCATTTGGCTGCGACATTACCCTGTCAAATCAGACATATCTTTCATCATTTTTCATCTTCATACGTTCTTACCAGACCTGCATAAATCATCAGTTGCTGCCGTGATATTCATCCCGACCACTGCATCCCCACGGCAAGGCGACCTGTATGTTAAATTTGGATCGAACAATCTACCAAAGATGCTTATAATCATGATACCTAGTAAATTTTCACGAAAAAAATTCAAAACCAGCAAATGTAAAAGATTCATTTCGCACCCACCACCACGGGACGTGATCGTCCTTAGACTTGGCAACCCTGCGAGTGTCAGATAGATATCCCCGCTAGTCAAAAAAAATAGACAAACAGTAAACATTACTATTTTTTGATTTTTGAACTTAAAAGCCATTATCTGTGAAACATTTTTCATAATTTTTTGTCTATGTCATAGTAATTGCATTATGCATCAGGGAGATGTAGGGATTGACACGTCTTTCTTACACATGTTAACTGTGTTTTAGGATGGAGAGGACATAATCCTTTGATTGATTTGAAGAAATTCATTATCCCATAAATTAATAAATTATTACTATTATGACGTAAAGGAAGATGAGGAATTGGATGGAATGTATTTTATATTCTACTTTCTTGCAAAATACAGACAAATCCATACTATTCAACAGGTATGTAATGTTAACTTTCAGTATATTGAAGTTGGTAAATTCAAGAGTGCCATGCATTAACAAACGTCCAAATCTGCTGCCAAATTTAACAGCTAGAAAATCGACCTATTATTTGCCGCATTCCCATTCGCTGAGGGGGATAACGGATTGTTAAATGTAAACCTATAACATATATCAAAATACATAAAAGTTGTCCTGTTTTTTCTGTACAAAAGCATCATGCTGGAATCAAAAAGTGGTCTTGTTTATAATACAGTCGAATTTTCACGATTTTATTCAATATTTCAGTAGAAATCACTAATATTCAGAGACCTTTGACAGCTTTCGTCAAATTGCATTTCGATAAGGTATTTTTCCATTGGTCCATAATATTAATGTTGGTGAAATCGGCCCGTATCGTCAGTTGTAGGACGCATTTATGGCCTCCATGATTGTCATAGTTTTCTATTGCTCCGTGTCAGCGCTCTATTTTGAGGTTATGTTACAAATATCTATTTGCCCCAAATTGTTTATGCATTTGATTTATATCGTCTGTTATATCAGGCTGAAATTTCCTTATTCAAAAAGAAAGCCTAGCTTCAGAAAAAGAAAGAGCTGACGCTTACGCGGACCAGCAGAAATCTAGCCTTTATGAAGGAGAGAAAAGGCTATCAAAATCATCATTTCGGGAACGTTCTCCTCTATGACTGCCTGTGAACAAAATGATACTGTTATTTGTTTAAAAAGCATACCTATACTAAATTGAGGTTTAAGGTATCTATTTAGTATAAGTAACATGGAAAACAATAAAAATGAGGAGAAAAATAATTCACAATACGATTAAAACAGGATAGTATAGCTTATAATAGGCATTGTGAAGGGAATAGGGAATATTACCAAAAAAGGCTGCGAAGAAAGTTAAGACTGGTAGTGCAGAAGAACTTGAGGTCAAAAAGAGAACTGAAAGATAATTTAAAAGAAACTGACATAATAATTCAAATTGATTTCGCTGAAAATTATATGACAAAAGATGGAAAAGAGTCTCTACAAACTGTTTCATTTGTCACTGTGAGTAATAATTTAGACCATGAGGCTCAT